TAGGAGGACTAAAAGGAGAGTTGACTCATCAATCTTCCTGTTCTCTCCCTGCTTCTCCCCCTAAGTATCACAATCCAAGTCGAGTTCCTCTCTCCAGGTTTCTTCTCAGGGATCAGTTTCATAATCAACTGAGCTTGGAATAGGCTGACTCTGTCCATCTCTTTCTGATCTCCAAGATCAGAACCATTAACCACAGCCCTGAAAGAATCCAGCTACAGATATAGTTCTGATTGAATTCTTGCAACACTTTTGGATTTGCATCCTCCCAAAACAGTGGCTGTATTCCCATAAGAGGCTTATTATCCTAGTTACTGAATTAACCCATTTTCTGGGATGGCCTCACATGCTGGATCACCAGCTGGCTAAATGACCTAGTTTGGCCTCACTCAAAGCCACAGAAGTTAGCATTCTTATAGAAATCCATCTTCTCTCTCTCTCTTTACCTGGCTAAGTGTGTGGTGTGAACACAGTGAAAATATGGGCTGGGCCTGAGAGAAGTTTAAAATCAACAAGTGAAATAATATTCACCATGTCCTCTTACCTCATTTACGTGGTTGACCATTTCATGTACCCGTACTGTTATCTTATTTGAATCGCGATTGTATTTTGTGTACTACAGAAAAATAAAAATGTTAAGATGAGATCATAATTATAGGAAGAAGGGAAAGAAGGAGGGAGAGAAAGAACATATCAGTGAAAGGATCATTAAATTTGTTGATGTAATAATAATTTTTATCCAAGCAGTCCAAAGAATTCTTTTGTGCTGATTTTTAATCTACATTTGTGCCATTAATATATTAAGATTTTTAACTTTTCAGCAGCTTTTTTCCTGGTTGGAGAAAATTTTGGTCAGCCTACTGAAATGCTTTTCTAAATTGGATGCTATATTTCCTTGTTCAGAGATGTGTGAGATAAGCATTCTTCACTACACATCTTTTTCTTTGTGTGTTGTCAGCTTGGACAAACAAAGAGTGCAGGAATGTTTCAAAGAAACCTACAGAACTGTTTAACCAGTGTGGGATAAAAATAAATTTAGATGGTATCCAGGAAGAACAAATGTGCAAATTAGAATATATTTACAAATGACTCTTAACTTTATAAATATTGCTTGGGTTCAATAAGAAAAAATATGAAAGTTTATGATAAAGCACATTTTAAGAGAAAGCCAGATAGGATGTTTGTTAATCTCTTCAAAAATGCCCACATTAAAAAAGGCAGAAATAAAATGCTGTGCTCAATGCAGAAAGAAAATGGAGAGATATCCAGGATACTTACCATTCCGTAGTCCACAACTATTGCAAGCTTAACGTATCTTTGGGGGAATCTTTGTTGCTAAACAGAACAATAAACAAAAGGCTGTTTAGACATGTTGCTCCCAGCAGCCAACAGGAATGTTGGTCAACCTCAGATAATCAGAAAATGCTTGTTTTACTCTCTGTCAAAATACTTGAACTTTCAGAAATATTGGTTCTCTCAAGAAGACATTTATAGGAAGAGAGCTTGTTAAATTTTAGCCCTGGGCCTTGAACCCTTCGGAACTGAGCCCTGGAAGTGACAAGTGAGCGCCTGCATCTCCACTTGCATGATCACTGAACAACCATAGGTGGGTATGCTCCATTTGCATCAGTGGGTGCATGTGCCCATTGCTCGCACAAATAGAGCTGGGTACATGCATGACCCCACTGTTCACGTGGAACCATCCCTTCCCCCACCTGTCCACAAAACTGGAAAGGTTGAGGACCTCTGACTTAGAGAAAGTGCTGACAACGTTTTGAGGGAAAAGTACATTATGTAAATGTACTTGTAAATGAATCCCTGTTCTCAAACCAAGTTAAATATGAGACTTACTTCAGGAGTAAGATATAACTGAGAGGCCTTTTTGATGGACTCATCTGATTCCCAATTCTGGGTTACTCCACACATTTTGGGGGCCTCGTCCTCTTTTTCTATATTTTCATATTTGTAGACTGCATGGGCTTCACTGTCGGGAAGCTTCAAGGGTTCAATAAGGTACGTCTGCCCTTGAAGCTTGAAATATCCTCTGTAAAACAATGTGGAAAAGGGTGATCAGAGATGGAGAAGAAACAGAAGAGAATATGGTTAGGTCAGAGATCACCTGCACTGATGATGTTACCAGGTTGGGTAATGAAACTCAGCTCTGAGACCCATTTTTAACTAACCAAGTCAACATTCTCTGTGTTTTTGAATCCCTTCTTAACACTCACTGAATTTTTTATTTTCTTTCCTCAGCACTCATATCCCTTTCTCATACTTCTCAAAGAGACAGCTATGATCAGAAAGATATAAGAGATTGCACACCACAAAATATCTGTACATTATTTGTTTGGAGATACCTTTGCTTGAAATACCTTTCTAGCAAGGTTGCATTTTGAAACCTATTTATCTTCTCTACCTGTAACATCACCTCCTGTATGTGAAGGACACAGGGGCTTGGAAGCTCCTTTAGACAGATCTGATTTAG